GGGGGGGGGGGGGGGGGAAGAGGATGGGATCTCGCTGTCTCGCTGCGAATTAATGCTGCTCCACCTTCACCGCGCCAAGCGAGATGAGTATCGCAAACCCTGAGATTTCGATGTCTACTACAGTCTCTTCCAGCTAACCTCAGACCCTCCCATCTCGGCCTGTTAGGTATGTCTTACTGCACACGTCTACGTTGTCTTCGGCACAAGCGATGTTAGCTCGGGGTATATGGGCGCGTTTTCGAGGGAAATACCGAAGTTACCCGAAGAAATCAAGAGAGAAAAATTGTAAGGCCTGTTGGACTGACAATCTGTATTTACTGATAGGAGGCTTTAGCCGTCGGGGCTAATTTGGCGGACCCCCTTCTTGACTGGTCATTGAACCCTTGCCGTTTACCAATGCCGACCTATCCGTCTGGCATGGCGCCGTTGTGAAAATTAGGCAAGCACTGTTCTGCTCCCATCATTGGTGAATAAAACATCAATCGATGATTACTAAGCCTTAGACCTTAAAGTCTAGACAGCTAGTAACGCTGGCAAGGATGCCCTTACACAACAACATTTATAACCTACCACTAAAAGTGGAGCTAAGCCCACGCGATCTTTTGACCTCGTCGCTTTTTGGAGAACTCGCGAGTCTGCTGGTGGCGCACGGCTTGAGGCAGCAGAAGTGGGCCAAACAGCATTTTTGACATTTGACATCCTGTTCGGTGCTGTTATGTGGTGTAGACTGACAGTAGGCAGCAGACACAGCACCTCGAAAAGTTGTAGAGCCCAAGCAGTGAGAGCGCACTCAAACCAAATCCCGTGCTGTAGCAAAAGGCCGAAGTCACCAGATTGAAGGGTTTATTGTGCACAGTGTTGTCCTCTCAGGCGGTAGTGGCTGCTGGTGAAACCAATGCTAGCCTTGACTGCGTCCAGTCGTGCCTGAGAGTCAGTGAGACAGCGGTGGTAGGTGCTTTTGTAGGTTTGTGCGCCAAGCTCAATTGGTGTTACACTGGCCGAGGGGTGGTGTCCAAGTGGCTTATGTTGTGTTCGCAGGAGGCTGGTGCGTGGGCAGCTGCCACTCTGCGGACACACGTTCGTCCGAGTGGTTGCAGGTGAGCGCGTCTGGAACCGCGCTCGCTGTGGAGGCGAGTGACCTTGACACGACGGTGCCTTGAAGAAGGCCGCAGGATATGACTATGGTGGCAGTCGGCTACAGCTCCCCGCCGGGCACAGAACGAAGTGATGATGTCGATCGTGAGTCAAACGAACTGATCCAATGCGCCTGAGGGACTAAGAGTGCGTGCTGATGATGACAGAAGTAGCTCGGACCTAGCTTGGCTAGTAGAAAAGCCTAACCAAGCGGACGATGTTATTGAGTTAGTGGAATTCAAAACCTCGGTAGGTCACTGTACCCCCATTTTTACCAAGAAGTCATCTTGGGGAAGTATCCTGTTCAAACCCAGGGCAGCCGCGCATAACTTCCCTCTTATTGCACATGATTCCCTGATCTTCTGTGCACACACTTACTTAGGGTGTCTTTTCAATACCACGTTTCACCAGGCTTCCAGCTGATGATGAAACCGCACACTTCATATTTTTACCACTTCCTTCTAGCCTCCTGCGACTTGTTGGAGAAGTGTCAGGCCCGAGGAGAGACCCTCGAACCGTTCTTTGAGCTGACCAACTTTCAGGAGGCGTGTCGAGCTGTTAATACAGCTGTTACCGAGACAAAGGTACTTCACCTTCCCATCATTTTGTTCGTTGTTGTCAGTAAATCCTCTGGTCTGAAGTGATGTTGAAACACCGCGTGTAACCTTTCAGAGCAGACCTCCATGGGCGTCCAGTGTATGTTGACAGGTTGCTCTCAGCATAGATTAGGACGTCAGTCTGAGACAGTGGCTTACCCAACTGACCCTGTGTCCCTAGTCGTCTTTTACCGGAGGCAGCGGATTTCGCCGACGGAGGTGAACACCCGAGCTGTTAGTTTTTTCAACAGGACACCGTTCAATTAGGTCGATTCCCCATCAGAGTGGGGAGGTGGTTTCATGCGTATCTCGCATCAACAGTCCCACTTCGGCGCCTATCAAGATCGGGCGGACTGGACTGCCCTGGTGAGACAGCCGACATCTTACTCGTCTCGACTTCAATGCCGAGACAACGGCAATCCCGGTAAGACGGGATCTGCCAGCGTGTCCACAGGAGGCAGTTAGTGGAACTAGCCTTCAGCGAAGGCCAGCGATGAAACTTACAGACTCGGGGGTCTAGCAAATGGGCAGTCACGAACCGTGCAGGGGTAACACCTTCAAGTGTAGCCGGGAGTTAATCTGGGAAATCGGTTGCCCGTAGAAAAAAGTCACAAACTGAAGTGATATTGTGACATGGAGCATGTTGTCTGTCAAAAAATAGGGCATTACTGGCCGTTCGGCAGAATTCAGCGACCTTTAATAGCTGTCTCGGAGGCTTGAGCGGAAAGGCGCGATTTCTCGCCCAACCGCAAAAACCAACTCAGTAAGGGCATTCTTTCCTCCAAAGAACGGCCCGTTAACTCGTTATTCTGGTTGATGATAGGAGCGCTAGCATAGGTCGTTGAGCCTTTCCGCAGTTGTCTGACCCACAATGGCAGGATCAAAGGCGGTTTACTACACAATTTATTGGGCACCTATCAGGACTGCGTTTACGTTGTATTATTAGATTGCTAATTGTCAGAGACCCTTATACGTTTGTTACGTCGTCAAAATCTATGTCTGCAGACATTTTTGCGCTTCCAATCAAAATAAGCAAAAACCAAATGAATGGAGTCCACGGCGTCAAATGATTCTGAATTTCATATCTGGAACAGCATCTTTCAGTGAACCATCGCGCGGGCTGTCGTCTGACTCAGTTCGGTTCAGTTTGTTTGAGGCAACTTAAGGCGCGCACCTGCGAACTTGTTACAAGCAGCGGAAGTATATCAAAATTTGAAAAAGGGAACATCGAACAACCATAAAGGAAATACCAAAACTATGCAGATAAACTAATTATTTCAGCTGTTGGCACTGGCAGATATATACACACAGATAGGGGCATTGTAAAGTAGTAAGTCTAAGCGTAGGTCTGCCACAGTGAAAGTAGTACGATCTCAATGGTCTTCAAGCGCCATAGTGAGTCAGTGGGCATGTGCGCAAAGTTAGAGACACTGATAAGGCTTTACTTACATATATACAGTAGTAATATTTTTTAAAACTCGTCAGTACTACACCGGTCTGGTGGCATTGTGCGTACAGCTAACAACTCGTGTGACGAAGTTGCTGGAGAGGCCGCCATCGTGCCAGGTCGCGTTAAAAACATGGGAGAACGTTTTGAAGCAGTGGATACAGACGGCTTCCGCAGTGCGGCCCTAACGCCCTTAACGACTAACTGAGTCCGGATTCCGAGTTAGCGTCCACTGGATCTCGAGTTGAGCATGGTTGGTTAGCAGCGACGACAATTATGGCGGAACCACCCATCCCTGTCTAACTTGTTTTCTTGGTTTTATCCCGCTGAGTTTCCGACCAGTTGCTTTTGTGTTTTGGACTTTGTAGATACCCCCAGATGTCGCTCAAATATTTGACGAGTGTCCCAGCTCACTGCCTGCCGAAGCAACCTTCTACACCTCCAACGAGAACGTGAGTTTCTCCTGCCGCAGTAAACGGCAACTTTTGGTTTGCGCTGCGAGAATAAATAAGCACGACGGTTACAGGTCACTCCCGACGGCGGCTGCGGGGAGGTCGCATTAGTACTGCACATGTAGCTTTTTATATATTCCTGACAGTAGGCTCGACTATTTAGCTGTTTTGGGCATGCCAACCCCTAATGTGGAAAGGGTATGCCTAGCTCACCCACCTGTTTCACTCACTGGAGTCGTCCTTCGAGCATTCACTGTCCTGCCTCTTTCAAATAAAAGACCGGTTAAAACCTGATGAGCAATGTGGAGTAGTGTATCGCATTCCGTGTCAAAATTGTCCTTGTAACTACACAGGACAGACTGGGCGCATGCTCGAATCGCGCATACACGAACATAAGCTGGCTGTGCGACGAGGCGACGCATTATCACAAGTGGCCGCTCACACCTACGAAATTGGTCACGAGTTTAACTTCGCAGCCACCAAAATAGTCGCCCACGCCGGAAACAAAACAGGTCAAGAATTAATTGAAGCCCGGGCCTCGGATGAGAACTCGGTCGATCGATTTATCGATCTGGCGCCGGCGTACGGAGCCCTGCGTAGTCACCTTCAGTCGTGCGCCGTCGGTCGATGATTAGCCTGCATGCCTTATAACTGTTGCTTGTTTTGCCGCTGCTGCTACCTCTGACGATGGACTCCTGTACGAGTCTGAATGCTCAGGACAATAAACACAGTGTTCCGGTGCTCGACTCTTCTTCTTCCTCTTTTTCTTTCAAATAAGGTCCCCTCAAGGACGCAACATGCTCCGACCGCCACGATTCCACCCGGTGGCAGTTCTTCGAAGACCGCCTCTAGCCCTCTAGCCAACCTGACGATGCCGACCTTCTGGCGTCTGGTCGCTGCTCTCCGGGACTTCACCCTGAACGAAGGTGACGGTTGTCTGCCTCTACGCGGCGACCTGCCCGACATGACCTCTGACTCCGGTCGGTATTTGCGTCTCCTCTCGGTTTTTCGTGAACATGCGGAGTGGGCGGTCTCTCGACTGGCTGCTCGTCTCTCTGACGTATGTTCCTTGTTACCTCATATCTCACTCCTGTGAGCAGTAACCTTTAAACTCCTCTCTTCTGGCCAACCCATTTGTCTAGATGCTGGCAACCCGGCGCGGATGGCACAACGGCTGTTTGCGAAATAAGCAGGCTCTCTGGCCTAATGAGCGAGCATTTGTCGGCCAGTGGCGACAGTCGACTCGAGGGCATGTTCCGGTCACTTAGTATTTAATTGTCTTCAAAGGTGGCTAACATGGAAGTTTTTATGGCCGGTTCGATTGTGCCTGGTAGATCCTACCGGTGGATATCCGTCAGCATTGTGGAGAGCATGGGGCCGAAGAAGGTTGGGGCAGGAAGGTCGTCCGTCTCCGCGAAGACTCCCGGTTTTAATGTGTTATTCGTAACACGTCCCGTCATAGGCGTGATGATGCTACCTCATAATCAGCTCGGACCATTCGGGATATTGAGCCTGTTACATTAGTTTCCACTTGCCTCTTACACAACAGTTCAACCGTCTTTACCGACGATGTCCATCTTTTACCCCACAGCAGAGTGAGAGCAGGGACAGTAACCTACGCATTATTCCCTTTATAATGATAGTGGATTTGCGCTGCGTCTACCACACTCCCCATCATCATCATCATCATCATCATCATCATCATCATCATCATCATCATCATCATCATCATCATCATCATCATCCATCATCATCATCATCATCATCTCCCGCTTGGTGTTGGTGTCAAGAAGACCAAAGGCGGGAGAGGGCTCAGGTGGCCAGAATGACAAAAAACTCGCACCTAGGCGTGCCACCACACCCACTGGCCCACAACAAACATCTGACAAGGGTTTACAGCAACGTGAAATAGAGGAGCGGCATGGATACCAGCTGGCGCGGAGTGAACCGGCACCTGGGCATGGCACCATACCCAATGTTGGCATTTTCTGTGGGCGACCGACCTCATGGAATGTTGTCCGGAATTGTGAAATGCGTTTTCGGTTAGGAAGGATTACTTAGGTGGGGCTGCAATACTAATTACCCTACGACTTACTCCTGTGATATTTCAGACACGTTGGGGTACTGGCTTTTGAATGCACTTCTTTTCGGCCATCCGCGAAAGTCGCACTGGGCAAAAACGACTGCTTAAGTAGTATATATTCGCACTGATTTTCGATGCCGTTGTAAATCCAAATATATTTTATGGAAAACGGGCACAGAAATATGCTTCCTTTTACTCGTTTGGTAGAAAATCACACCGCCTTCACATTTGATACTTGAGGAAAGCGTACGCTTCGGTTGCAAAAAGGTTCTAATTATGGGATGTTTTAATACGGTCCAATCTCCCTTCGTACCTCATCGCACATGTCCTTTTATTAATGCGCCTCATGCAATGTGCAACATATCCGCATCTGTTGAAAAATTTTATGAACTGAACATGGTTTCATCATAAAAGCATAGGGGAATATATGATTTTCCTTAGACGGAAAGTATCCACCTTGTAGACTAAAATAGCTAAATGTTAGTGCAACGACTGATCTGGATCACAATCCTTTGGGAATCGGGGAACTTTTTCAAAACATAGATATGCCCTTCGAGTATGAAACGTGATGACGACGCGATTCGCTACTGAGTAAAAGAAATCATATTTTGTGCATGTTTTGTATAAAACACGAAGTTATAAGTCCATCGAAAGTCGATGCGCAAAAGTGTACACTACTTAAATAGTCTTTTTTGCCGTGTGCAGTTTTTGTAGGGGGTCGAGAAGAATTGCATTCAAAA